TGTGTGTGTGTGTGTGTGTGTGTGTGTGTGTGTGTGTGTGTGTGTGTTGTCTGCGTGGGGGCTTTCTCTCCATCCTTCCTCACGTACAAGGCTGATGTTTGGAGAATGCAGATATGGAGCTCACGATCATGCCACTGCCAATTAAACTTGCAAAAGGGGGCGAACAGAGCAAGTTCAGAGGCGGCAGAATTTTTGTCTGTGGGCGGTGAAGAATTTGTTCTTGATCTCACTCATCTCCTTTTCCTCATGGCGGCTCCTGACACTGTGGAATATTAAACCTCGTTTATATAACCTATATTACCCAGCATATGACATTTTCTTTCTCCTCTGTAATTATTCTGTGCAAACAATTTATGACGATATAAACTTCTTTTAAACCAGTAAATTAAGAGTTTGTAACAGATTTAATCAATAGGTAAATAGAGATTAAACAATTGGGAAACCTCAATAATCTTCCTCTTCATAAACAGATGTTCCTCAGGAGGGTTGAATGTAGATTAAGAAACCCAACAAAACAAATGAGACTTAAATTTGTGAAGTAAATAAGTCAGATTTGTTTCATTTATTTATGGAACAAAACATTTCATATACAAAGTATAAGAGTTGTGAAATACAGTATTTTAATGATTTTGCACTAATTATACATTGGCTGAGAACTCCTCGGACAATGAATAATCCTTGGACTGAAGAAGTCCTTCGGATGAAGGACGAAACATCTAAAAAAAAAAAAAAAAAAAAAAAAGAAACCACCCAGATGACCTGACTGAACATTGTTGGATTTGTACCTGGATTCTTGAGCATGAATTTTGGTGCCTGAGAACTATTTTGTTGTTTGTATGTTGAGCCATGAGTGGCACAGAGCTGTCACTGAGAACTGAGAAGGTTGCTGGATCGATTCCCAACCTAGGACTTTTCCCAGGTGGAGTTTGCATGTTATATCTGTGCATACCTTTTCTCTGGGAATTCTGGTTTCCTCCCACAGAACAAAAACATGCATATTAGGCATCAGATCATCAGTCATCAGATATTTGTAAAGCAATGGTTGAAAACAAGACGATCTAAAGGAAAGGAAACAGGAACCAGTATCAACGGGTCTTATTAAGTTCTGGATCCAAATTTTCAACTTTTGTCTGAAATTGTCAATATGTAAAGAGCAGGTAAGAGTGTCCCCAGCCCCATGTAAAACACGGTAGAGTCTGTATCATGGTTTAGGGCATCGTTTTGTTGAAAGGTGTAGGGGTTGTCATAGAAACGGATTTATTAACATTGAAATGTTTCAGCAGGTTTTGATCTACTGTGCACCTGGAAAGTGTGTTTGAAACAGCTGGATTTTTAGTGTAACACTGCTACTGCCAGAAAAGCATGCCTGGATTTTAAATTAATGGAGTAATTCAGACAGTGGACGTCTATCAGCTGAAAAGTCAGAACTTCGGCATCATTGAAGCGGTGTAGGAAAATTGTAACAGAGAACAGAATCCATCAATTTATCATTAGCTCAATATCGGTAAAATATACTGTTATAGACAACTTGTTGTTTGCAAAAATTAGTAAAGGCAGCCATCTTTAATAGAGGTGGCTTCAAAAGTTAATCAGCTGATGTACATCCAATGATGCGTCTATGTAGAGGCAATAAACGGCCTCCATGAAATCTGAGAAACTTCTCCTGCAGATTAAATAAATTACAAAGAAATTGACATTGGAGTCCAAAATGTGTTGTAGAATTGTTAGCCAGTAAATATTAACTTTGATCAAACTGTACAAAGCTTTATTTTTTACCTATTTTATATTTAATTGCATTTTCACTCGTGTTTTGTGGTTTTGCAGCTTTTGCGTGTTTTTCTTCCAAAATGTGAAAATATGAATGTTTTTGCACAGTGTCGTGCATTTATTCATTTATGCACTTGTTTTGTGAGTTGGACACACACACACGCACACGTGTGTGTTTGCATATAAAGCAAAGTTAACAAAACAAAAAGTAATTACACAGACCTCTTTGGAAAAACCATCAAACACAATAGACACCGCTAAACTTGCCTTGTGGGTAATTTGTCAAATGGACGGAGATGGGTTTGCTTTTTCTGCCGGTCACACCTAAATAAAAAAAATGACAAAAGCAACTAATCTCAGTCATACATGTGTTTCTAATCTTGAAAGAGCAGCTTTTTAAAGAATGAAACTATCAAATGGCTGTTTGTTTTTGTTTCTGTTACGGGTCATTCCCTCTATACTTTTCATTTGTTCTGCCTATAATCTAAATTTGATGAATAACATCCTTTTTTAAAAATCCAGACTGAATTGCTTATATAGAATTACAGCTGGCTATGAACTTTAAAAGACCAAGAAGATTGTTGTAAAAAATACTTTTCTAAATAAAACAAACAAAAAAGCTCACAAGCGCTAACTCTAGTACTTCTCAAGTTGCGCTAGAAGTGCTACAGCTAGCTGCTGCTTCCATTAGCCAATATTGTAATTTACCAATAACTATAAAACACTATGAAAAGAAATCTGTAACTTGAACTAAAACATGGACTACTAAGAAATGTTTGAGACTAGAGTTGTTTTAAGACAGTAGCCACCCACAGCTAGCATGCTACATGCAGATAGCCGTTAGCTCATCAGTTCTGTATTTCTGTCGTCTTCAAAGAGCTGTCCACAACAGTTCAGATAATTATCGTTCACAGAACCCCAGTCTAAAACCTTCCAACTATTTTTGGGTTCCAATACACATAATCCTGGTACTTTATAAGTATCTGGTACTTACAGGGCTCATACCTGGTACTTACTGGGGATTTATCAGAATCAGAATCAGAATTAGAATAAGCTTTATTGTCATTGTACCAAAATACAACGAAATTATGTTCGTACAGTCGTCCAAAGATGGGTGGAGTGCACGTGCCTCCTGTTGCTGGAGCGCGGCCTCTTATTATTGGGTATGTATCAGGTTCTTACAGGATACAGTGCATAGTCTGTAATTTTTAAATGTACATCAGGTAAGTATCTGGTAAGTACCTGTGCATATAGTGTGTACCAGATACACAATAGATATGCACACTCCATATGCACTAGTTAGGTACCCTGTAAGTATCAGATACATATATGGTACTACGTGGGTACTAGATACATACCTCGTTGGATTATACAGGTATCTGACAACTTTTTGATGGTATTCAGAAAGTACTCAACTCAATATGGCTGTATTAGGTTTTGCTACTGTTTTTGTCCATTCCCAAATACCTGATACATACACAATGTACTAAGCATGTACTCAGGATCCAGTTGTACTGTATTATGTATTGCTGCTGTTTTGTGTTGGTCCACATGTGTATGTCTACTTGTCTCACTGGTTCTTATTAGTCATAGTGAATAAAGGAAGCAACTTGTAGCAAAAAAAAAAAAAAAATCTTAAACAACTAATATAATTTGAGTATAATCTAGGAAGGAATCAAGCAATACAAATATTTTACACTGCACTCCTCCTGAGAGCTAATGCATTTCCTTTAACTTTCTGTTCTTTCCCTTGTCTCTATAGACTTTGGCCAAGTTGACTCCTAAACTTCAGCCACTGGTTGACATGATCAGAGCGAACAGGGCCAACTGGGAGGAGCTGAACAAGAAGAGACAATGTGATCAGAGGGTTCCTGTCCCTGTGAGTCCATACAGCGGTGACACCACAGAAACCAGCAGCTGCACTGTGGCCCAAAACAGCAGCATTCCCTGCTGCAGCGGCGACGCTCAAAGCAAACTGTCCAAAGCGGCGAGCTAGCTTCTCCTGGTGAACTTATAATGTCAGGTCTATTTTTTTCTCCTAAATGCAGCCAGCAGAGGCAGTGCATGCAGAGGTTCTTGGGCTCTGCTCCTCTTTGCTTTTGCTACTAGAGATGAGCTTTAGACTTGAGTGTGGCGCTATCATCGAGGTTTTTCTGCTGCCTTCAGATTCCCTGTGCTGAAGGCTGGCAGAGCTGTGTTTGACAGGCTTGTCTGAGCAGCTACAAATCAGCTGGCGACACCGTGTCACAAAGGAAACTCAAACCACTGTGTCAACATGTCAAGTAACTCCAACTATCCTGGACGTTGCACCGATTTTTGGCTAAAGACATGAAGTGTAATGTACGTCTCTGTTGTGGTTTAGTTTGCTCTTGGTATCTCTGTGTTGCTTGCATTTTGTCCAGGGGTAAAAACTTTTTTTTTTTGTAAATCTGTAAATATGCTATTGAGTTATTTAAAAGTGCTGTTTAAAAACTGCATTGCATTGGATTGGAATGTGGTTGTAGAGCTTTTGGAGGATGAAGGGGTGCAGATACAGCAGTACTTGTGACACTTGCTTGCAATGCAAATTGAATTTTCCACTCCCTCCCTTCCTGTGCCTTGTTTTGAGATCCTACTGAAAAATGCATGACCTCTCTGTCGAGGTTCCTATATATTACATAAAGTCATTAAACCTTGCTGTTTTTCTACCATTACTTTGAAAAAAAAAAACCGACTGCAGTTATGTCTTGAACTCTTGTTAGCCACAAGCTAATTTGCATATGGGAGTGTATATTTTGCCCAATTTTATAAATGCAGGTTCTCAACTTGTCACACACATACACAACGTGCCTTGAGAAAGTTCTGATATTTCAATTTATACAGGACAAACCTTCAGCTCTAATGCTTCTTCAGCTGTTACATAAAAACATGTCACCTTGGACATTTTTGGAACTTTTTTTGCTTTGTTTATGACTGAAGATTTACACGTCTTACATGATTTTTATTTATTTATCGGTAAATAAGATGCCACAGTGAGTCATTGGTTTGCTAAATTTGAAATTAAAAGTATAAAAAGAAGACGCTGGTTAGCCTGAATCTGTTCAAATGTATTATTTTACAAACAAGTCCAATTTAATTCCAGTTAATCTTGGATTACAACTTGAACCAAGACATTATTCATGTTCATTTCCATTCAGTTACTAAAGAGTTACCATTCACTGAAGTAGTGCATGTCACCCACTGCCTTTCATGAAAGGGTTTAAAATTAAGATTATTTTGACAAATTACAAATTTATAACCATTTTAGTCACACCTTGAAAATAACAATATGTGAGAGCTCATGCAATGTAAGATCTTGTGTGATCTGTTAATATTCTGGTTATGTGTTGAGAATTCATATCAGCTCCTACTACACTGAATTTTATTTCTGTCTCTAAATCTGACTAAGAGACAATTTTCTTATTGCTACATCTGATTAGGTGTGGTAGCCATATTGAATTGGAATGACTCTAAAAGGTAATCGTTGTAGTTGTACAATCCGTTAAAAACTTTGAGGGATTGATGGAAATACGTTCATGGGATTTTATTTATTCAACCTTTATTTATACATGTTAGTCTCATTGAGCCTCGAGGACTCATTTACAAGAGAAACTTGTAACAGACATTTTGCTAACAGACTGACAGACTAGTAAACACACATGGTGGTAGGCGATTATAATACAGTACAAAATCTAGTTCAATAAACTATAAAATACCAATTAGTAAAAAGCTGTTTATTAGGGATGCATGATATTGGATTTTTGGCCGGTATCCGATATGTTAAAACTTATTTGGTCGATAACCGATACCAATATTTTTCCCCTAGACCTACATACAGAGACTACACAGCTTTCTCTGCTGTGGAATTAAAATACTACATTATTCTGCATGGCCTTTGTCAATTTGGCCTGCTACAAAATGCAGATGCCAACAAGGGGGCTGAAAATGATGTAACACTTCAACTTAGATTATGTTTAATGTCAAATTTATTCATGACATTTACTCTCTCTAACACAATGGCAACATTCGAACAGTGCAAATTTGTAAATTTTCACATATCTAAACTCAACCTGTTCACAAGCAACAAGTGAAAAGCGCATAAGTAGTAGTGCATTAATAGATAAACTTGACAGTTTCTTAAATTAAAATTAACTTTAAAACAGAAGCCTTTTATATCGGTGAGGGTTTTTTTTTTATGAAATGGCCGATATCCGATATTTAACTTTATCACAAATATTGCCCAATACCAATACCATGCCGATAATATCTACTGCTTATCCAAGGAAACTAGCACACTGGTCTGAATCTTCACTTTGGTGCAATTCTCTATCCTGAGCATGCATGGAGCTGTGGGCGACAGTGGAGAGAAATGACTCCCTTTTAACAGGAAGAGACTTCCAGTATTGAGTCGAAATAGACGTCCATCTGCCTCGTCCATCTGGAATTAAGAAAGACCACAGCAAAATAAATAAATAAAACTCTACAAACAGAGAATTTGCAAATGTCAACATTTTTCAGGAAATACTTTAGCAACAAACATGACTGTGTTCAATAAGTACATATCAGGGGCTTGAAGTGTAACAGGATGCAAGACTGAATTCAGAGTAAAATCTTTGTATTTTCACATTTTCTTTTAAAACCTACGACACTAAGATTGGAGCTTCTCTTACGGCTTAATATCTGCTCAGGTACAGGTATGAAAACTAAGCTAAGTTTAGAATAAGACCATGTTTTAGCTGAAAATGTTGCACTTTGCACAGTCCTGACTCAGACTTCTCCGACTTCTGGTGACTCAGAAGTGAGGTGGAGCTATTTTGGATCACAGCTGTCGATAACGAGAATGCAATTTTTACAAGTGTGAAAAATGTCTTTTTACAAATTCTTCTGTAAATAAGACCTTTGGACAGGGATCAGATCTTATAAATGAACAGACTGAACTAAGTCACACCATGATATGGAGCATATTTCAGTGTTTCTTTAATTCAAAGTCATCTTAATGGACTTTAGCACAGTATTCAAAGCATTTCTAGGAAACACGAAGTGGAAATATCTTTGCTTCTACTAATTCTGAACATGGATCAGGCTAATCATTGTTCACTCTCTTCAGTCTTCAAAAAGAAGCTGTCAGGATCATTCCTACAAACATTCAACTTTTATTTTGTTTTGCAATCCCACCATTTTCTTTGAAAGCTCATAAATGTTACAAACACGAGAGCTTTTCATTCTGCAGAAGACTGACACACTGAAACTTGTAGTAGTGAAGTGCCCATGTCTTATCAAAGCTTTTACTTTGACATGCTCACCGTTGTTATTACAAGTGTTCTTTTCCATTAGGAGTAGGCCTTATAATTATGTTGTAGCTTTGTTAACTGGAGTTACTGTGCACATTGTGCGGCATGGATCTGTACGCTCTACTGTATTTTAATTTTGATTTCTTTGAAGAATTTAATTGAAACCAACCAGAAACAGTTTATTTTTTAATTGCATGTTTTATGCAATATTAAATCCAATCACTCGCTAAGGATGTAGCAAACAAGTGAGCCAACAAATACCTCGTATTTTAACCCGCACACACTTTATATCAACGGGCGTGCATGACTTCTTAAATTCTCTTGCATCATGTTGAGCGAGTTACATATGAATATCCTGTTCTATTTTTCTATTAGGTGGCTAACTTCTACCTGTCGTTTTTATTTCTTTGTTTTTATTGTAACAAGCTCCTTGAGTTTCTCCTCTTTTTTTTCTTTTCTCCCCGTTTGGGCTTTTGATTTAATCATGACAGTCAAATCCGAAAGAAATCCAAGGCATGAAAAAATAAAATAAATCAAAAAGCTCCTGTTTCTGTTTAATTTAAATAAAAACATAAATCTTCCATGTGTTCTCTGATTATTTTTTATGTTCATCTCCATCATCGTGATCCACTTTGCCTCTTAAACAAACTAAATTCGGCTACTTTTTTCCATTTTGAAGTTTTATCGTCTTTAAAATTTAATTAGACATGATTGTTTTAATTTGACATCTAATAATCCAATTGTGAAATGTTCAAGATTTTATTTTATTTTTTACCTTTAAGACTTTATGCTCATTGCTCTTAGTTTCAATAACAAATTGTTGAAGTGATCAGTCAGGATTTGAACGTGAAACATTCACAGAATATCTGGTGATGGAAGATAAAAGTTTTTTTTTAGAGACAAAAATAAGACACTTAACTGTAGCATTTTTAGCCATAACTTTTAATTTACAGGTTGAATGCTTATTAAACTAAAACACATTAGTTGTATTTCATTATTTTATGCATGCCACCCACAGTCTGTCCTCTTTTTCTGTTTTGAGTGTACATTTATGCAGATGGCACGTTATGTATCATAAATCTCTTTGACACTCTGCACATATTTTAAAGTTAGATGAGCCTTTCAGTCCCTTTTAAATGGCCATCTGGGAAAAGAAAAACGTTTCCCTCCCCTTGTATAAACAGAGGTTTTAATTCAGGTGACAAAAACTAAATGAATCTGTTTCAAAAGTTGTGCAACAATCTTGTCCACTGATTTAAAATATCTAAACTGTTGCACATAATTGGTCCAAAACCTCCTCTGGTTTTGCCTTCTGTTGCAATGCTGACCTCTAGTGGTCAAACATATTATTACACACAAACTGCATCAATTTAATTCTGCAGATTTAAGCAAATTTCATTGAGATATATTTAAATTTGCACAATAAAGCAAATTGCATGACACAGTATGACAAAAAATAGAAATGCATGAAACATTTATGAATCTATATAAAGGACAGATGGATCCGTGATTAATTAGCAATGTGCTACATTTTCCACATCTCCTCTATCCATTCACAACGTGCTGCCATCAAACTGCGATACAGCAGCAGAACATTTTATTGCTCAAGGCTGAGCTCCATCACTGTTGATGTGAGGCTGTGACGTCAGCCAGCAGTGTGTGGGTGGCTGCGTGGGTGAGGACGACT